CGGGGGGGGGAAAAAAAAGAAAAAGAAAAAATTCCCATACTGTACTTTTGCTTAAACAGCAGCAAATGTGGTTAAGTCTTCCAGGAGTGGAGTTGGGGGGAAGAAAAAAGCGGGTGCCAAGTGCAGTGCAGCGTTTTCCAAGTGTAGGGGAAGGCACAGCGTGGTCTGTGCTTCTCAGGCTCATGAACAGCCCCTTTGCCAGCGTCCTGTCAAAGCTGACAAGTGAGTTTATTCAAGGCTTGCAATATAAACATAAGATACAGTTATGTGGTTTACTCATTACCTACGGTCTCTGCTGAGGATAAGGAAAATGACATATGATACCTTTAAAACTTTTTTAAAATTGAGAAGTCACCCGTTGATGGTAGTATTTAACAAGCTGTGTTTTCAAGATATAATGTACTGTCCAGTCGCTTGCTGCTCTTCAGCTTGAGGTTGCTATTAACACCTGATTTTTTCACTGAATTCTGCCTAGTACTCATGAAAATTTGAAGCTCTGTGTAAAACACTCTACCCCACCATTTATTTGGTGATAATCTGGAATAACTCTGTTTTTCCCAGATATCTTATTTTAGATCTACTTTTAAATTGATATAGATAATATTTAACCATACTTATAATATAGATGATAGTGTTAGATGTAAATCTAGAATAGTAATAATATATGCTAAGTAAGGCATTCACCTTCTATATTTAACCTAGATAAGTCTATAAATTTAATTAAAGGCATTTGTAATGGCCATGAGCTGAGGAAAATGTAACAGATATCATGGTTCATTAATGACAACTGAAAATCCAAACTAAAAGTATAAGTTCTGGTTAACTCGTAATAATTCACTATTTTCTTTTCTTGTTGAAATGAGAACTGAGAGTTAATGTTTTGCGGTTTATGTATTAATTCATTATGTTCTTGAAAACATGCTTTATTTTTAACATCTTCATAACATTTAGATATGAGTAAATCTAGCAACACAAAATTTTGGAAAAACTCACAATGCTTTCTTGTGAAAGTTTCAAACTTTCCTAAACTATTTTCCAGTTTAAAATTATTGTTTAAATCAACTTAGAACCTATAAATACACTGGAAATCCAGTAAGTTTTTCACAGTCCATGAACTCACTGTTTATGCAATTTTGGTGGGTGATTTTTATTTACCTTCACTTTCTGCATTCCGTGAGGTGTTGGGCGTGTGGGAATGCTAGTCACAAGACCTGCCATGTCTTGAGGAAGGATGAGTAAGAGAAGCACTTGAAAATGCAGGAGATGGGACCCTTCTCTTCCTTTCCTCCTCATCCCAAGTCTTAGTTCTTGCTGGACATGTCAAGGTGGGCAGGTCTGACCCCAGGAAGATGCTTTGGCTGATGCAGTTGCATACTTTTCTTGTAAAGAAATTGGGAAATGTCCTAGCTAAGAACCTTACATTTTGGCTGCCCAAAGGGCCATATCTGCAAAGTAAAATTAAAAGTGTCCTTAGGGAGATAAGCTCAATTCTGTTGAAAGGAGACAGTATTTGCCATGAAGTTCACTAACAGGAATTGCTGCTGAAATCTGTAAAGACAGCTGTGTGGAAAGGAGGACTACTGTTTCAAAAGTACTTTGGGTCAAAATGCTTAGACTGGAATTTTGTCTTTCCAAGATGCCCGTATTATTGTATCTTATGCAAAAGGTTCTTATGAGTTGCCTTAGTAATGCCTAGCAATTTTCTACGAAGTCATTGGTAGAGACATGTGTTGACTACTCTACTGCCTAAAAAGGGGGACCTGTTACTTGATAAGGCAAGTTTGCTCAGACCATACTCTGCATCCTGTCTTATAATCAAAGCTGGCTCATGCCAAAATTTTTGGTTTCATCCCTAAGACCCACCATGACTCTGGAAACAAGCACCAGTAAACGCTTATTCAAGCTTTTAGTAATCAGTCACCTGGCTGTTAATAATTTCCTCATTTTTACATCGGTCAGGAGACAACAAATCCAACAGCGCTTTATCTATTTTTTCATTAAACTAAAAAGTTAGATCAATAGTAGAATATGAAGGACGATGAAAAAAAATTGCCCGTCATCCAAATTCCTTGCTGTACCCTTGGTGTGATATTGATACAGGCTCTACTCTTTGTCGAGTAGAAGACCTTGTAGAAATGCAGCTTAGTCATGCCATTTCTGTGGTATTCTCAGGACATAGACTGTATAATTGATTACAGACATCTTAGCTTAAAAGCCATCTTAGAGTTTCATCCAGTCCTACTAATACGTGTGCAGTCCCATGGGCTGCATCCAAGGATTATGCTAATTTTATTAGCAACTCCTCATGCTTTAATTAAACCGTATAAATTCCCACCTGGTCACTGTTGTGCCAACACCCTTCTTTCAATTTTTATTTGAATTTGTAGATAATTTGGGGTTTTACACTTCCATTCTGATTTCCTGAATTATCCATTGTTTTTTACACGTGAAATGACACAATTTTGAGGGGTGAACAGCATTTCAAATTGAGTTAATTGTTTGAGTGAACCTCTGGATCGAAGTAAAGACCTAGGTTTCCAAAGTTGGCCAGCTCTATATGGGAGCAGATATTCAAAGAAACTTGCTGTCTGAAAGCATCAAGCTATAAGCTGCTGTTCGAAATACCTGCAAGCAAGCTCTGTATTAACATTTACTTTACTGTGTTTATACCATGGAGCAGAGCGATGTGAATTCCTTAGTGGACTGTTAATTTACATGTTATACACTTTCAAATACTTCCAAAAGCAAATGCGAAATGATTAGTAATCCATTCACATGCTCACAAAATGTTATTAGCAAAATGCCTTGGGCAGTATGTTATGTTGACTAAAATTGATAATTTTGTGTTTTAAAACTAAAGCGACCTCCCCCAGCCCCCAACAAATCTTAGGACCTGCCCAGAGCCTAGACCTCCTGGGCACACCGGTTCTCAAGGTATGTTGAGCTGAGGTTGGTGGGAGATCAAAAAACCCCCAAGAGCAGTGATCTAAGGTTTGCAGTGATTTTGACTCTTTAGAAAGCCTCACTGCAAGCCTTCTGTGGAGTTCTGCAGTTTAAAATGGCTTATCTGTAAAATCAGCATAAGGAGGTGATTCTGGCATTTACCACTCATTTTACCTACCTGTGTTCTGGGGAAATCAAACCTGGTTCTTTTTAGTTCTGCATAACTTTCTGTCTCCAGCTGTGTGCGGTTCTGACAGAGCCAAATCCCTGGATGAAATATCTCCTATTCTCAAAAAAGGTTTAGAGTGGTTCTTTTTTAAAGAGAACCAAAGAGCAAGCTGTTTAATGGTATTTGTCAACATATCTCTTCTTTGAATAATGGTTTCCATGCCTCGCAGACTCAAATACAATATGACACTTCCTCCTAAATGCCAATTATTCTGTCCAGAAGAGTTGCCCAAAAGTCTACTCCTCAGAGTTTCACACCAGACCTACAGGATAAAGAATAGGGGGTATTAAAATTTAAAAAGAGCCGTTGTGAGATTAAGACTGTGCACTAGCAGTAGCTTATGCACTAGCTTGAGTATTGCTTCTATGGTTGTAACATGCTGTCCAGCAATTTACATTTACAGCTATGAAGTAATTGAATAAAGAGATGCATCATCATTTTCTCTTTTAGCACATGGGTGAATTATTTTACCAACATGTGAAGGGGTGTTCATATAACATCATGGTGCTTTGTGCTAGAGAAAAACAATTACAGTGAATAAGGTAGAATGGCTCTGTTATTGCAGTACATAAGACTTTGATTACATACTGCCAAGATTCATACCAGCCTAGTAGTTGTTGACAGATAAAGTAACAAAAATGAAACTCATTTATTTTTTCTTTATTGAGACCTCAAGGTAAAGCAAATTTTCAGTTCTTGTACTTACTACATTGAAGGAACAGAGACTGACAGTCAAAATGTGCCAGTTCAGAAATATAAATTAAACCTAGTTTCATATCAAAGTTTCATTTAGTCTCTGAAAAGGAGCTGCTGCTTGGATTATTTTTGATCCTAAAACAAATACACTGTAAACTACTATAGTGTATCTTGGATGAATTAACCCCCTCATACATTTAGCTCTTGTGTGTTTTCCAGGATATAGATCTGTGTCTATTCAAGCAATTTTAAAATTTGTTATGGACTTAATTATTTTTACTTTTTATCTGTTTCGTAATAATTTCCTGTATTTGCAAGTCCAATGAATGTAAGGATGTTTTTAAGAGTGTAGCACTTTTGCTGAAGAAAGGACACATTTTGAGGAAAAAGCCCTCCTTCTTCCCTTGTGTAATGAAAATTCTGGCTTTTACTGGGAGTTCCTCTAGGCAGCTAGATGCTGCATTATTCCTTGATAAGTCTAACAAATGACTTTTTTTGATAAACTTGATTAGTTTCTAAAGAGCAGATAAAACTAGCTGTTGAAATTGAAAGTGCTAAAATGAGTGGTTTTATACCATCAAAATCTTGAATTAGTTACCTAGCCCAACTGAATATAATTGCTGTTCAGATTAATGAGGCAGTATTCTAGTATCTCCTCTGTAATTAAACACTTCTCTGGTTGAATACAGTATTAAAGATGCACCAGACGTTGAAACCTCAGTGGTGAAATTTAAAACTGCTGAAATTGGAAGGGTCAGCTGTGAAACACAAATTCCTCTGCAGCATGGGTAATTCACACGTAAAATGTGTTTCAAGAATAATTTGGCTTATGTTAGGGATGCTGGATTTTTTTTTAATTTTTCTTATCTTTCCATCATCTAAATTTGAGAATTTTTCTCATTAGTTCTTGAGCAAAAGTAACATAAAGTGCACTTGTTTCCAGAATTACCTTTTCTGACCTTTCACAAGATGATAATTGCAGTACTAGTAGGCTTAGAGGACTTGTTAAAAAAATTAAGCTTATGAAGTAGCAAAAAATGCCCCTTTGCTTGCTGGTGTCGATTTCAAAATTAACATTTTGGTTCATGTGCTTCTAATAATCGCTGACCCTTACTTCATGTGCTTTCCACAGGAAATGAATACAGCAGAAATTACTTTGACCCGTTGATGGATGAGGAAATAAACCCAAGGCAGTGTGGGATGGAGGTCAGTGGAGAAGGTGAGGCAGAATTAAGTATGTAATTTTGGTGTCAGAATATTCTTTTCCATTCATGAAAATGAGGTGACAAAGATCACATATGCAGTTCTATTTAAATATTGAGGTTTACAATTTAAATTATAAGCCTTACCTGCTCTGAACATGATAGGCAGTATGCGTAGTCTTTGATCAAGGACAGTGAGTTAATGGATGGGTAAAAGTGAGGCTGTGCTGTATTCACTCTGCAACTGTAGCAAAATGAGAACATTGTCTACATCATGTTCTCTTTAATTAATGAAGTTGGTCCCAAACTGAGTGCCAAGCTGTAGCTTGATTGCAATCCTGCTCTCCAAATCCTTCTTAAAGAGCAGTTTTACTACTGAGCTTGAACCTGTGTTTGCCTAACAGAAGGAAACCCCAGAGTCCGTAAAAGTTCCCAGCATGCACGAAGGCTTTTTTGGTTTTCTTTTTGCCAGTTTAGGTGAGATGTTTAGCTTTACTCTCTGTGGGCAAAAGTGAGGAGCGGGAGGGTGTGACCCTGAAGAGCTGGGAGAACTGAAGTTATGCATAGGTATGAGAGAAATGAGCTGGGAGGCACTATCTTTTGCTGTAAGTGGAGGAAATTCTCCTTCACTGTCATGGCTTTTAGATAAAAAAAAAGGGTGGGAACGGGCCTGCCCGAATTTGCATGGAGTTAAGTAAGAACGTCATCATGGTAATGAAGTGCTTAGCTATGCACTGAATGCTTTGGCCCAGCTCCTGTTGTTAAAGCACTAATAACCTGATAGCACGCACGACCCAGTTCTCCTGTATGACCTTCTTAACCCTTTGCTTTTTTTAAACCTTATGCTTATTTGTACTGCAGTGTGTCTCTAGATGCACTGTTACAGTCAAATTAAAAAAAAAAAAATTGTCTACTATAAAGGGTCTCTATGTAGGTCACTTAAATTCATGAGAAACTTTTACCTTGAGTGGACATCGAGGTTTAAAATTTTGAGGCAAAAACTTGTGTGACTGAGAGAAGCAGCCTCTAGTGCACATCAGTAACTTGAATTTCTGCGTACTGGTGAAAAAAATCACGGTATATCAACAGTAAATTACATCTAACCCCTATAATTTCCCAATTCGTTTTATAGGATAGCAATGTAATACCTTGGAAGTCAACTTTTGGCTCTGAGTTTTGACGTGAAAGATTTTCTTTCTGTAGATACTGCTTTAGTTCATGTTGTGAATAGGCTTAATGAGTCATGATCTGCTTCATAATCAGCGAATGAAAAACAGATTAGATTTCTCTATCTGTGTGTGTGCCTAAAAACACGTATGGATAGAGTGATGACATAGGGGACATGTGGAAATACAGTTTTCCTTGTGAGAAAATGTTGTCTTGCCCACAAAATGTTCCCTTGCTTGTGTTGAGGAGGCTGAGTGATACACACTTAAACTTAATTGGATTTTGGTGAGTTTTCTTGTTTGTGGTTGGTTTTGGTTTTTTTTGTTTTTAAAAAAATCTGAAACAGATGAAAGGTCTGAGAGAGTCCACCCAGTTTCAGGGGTGGGAGTGGAGAGGTGGTTTTTAGGTACTTCCCATCAGGCTAGACCCGAGATCCACATGTGAACAGCTGTCTTTTGGTGTTCCTCCTTTTTCACCCCAGCAAAAATGTCACTCCATGGTTGGAGTCTGTTGGCAATGGTACCAGCATCAGGTTGGTTGTGTTGACATCTGCAGAGCAGTTATAACTCTGTTTGCCAACACCTCAGCCAAGAAAAAGCGTCGCACATTGGAGATATTAAAAAGCTGTCTAGACATATTCCTGGACAACTTGGCTCCAGATAGCCCTTGCTTGAGCAGAGGGGTTTGAAGAGATGACCTCCAGAGGTACCTTCCCACCTCAACTAGCGATAGTCACAAACCAGGCTTCTTGTCTTTTTTCCTTTTCCTTGCAGAAGTGTTAAATAAATGGAACTACATTTATATGTAGTGGATGGAGGTAAAAGAACAGACAGAACTGAAATCTGGTCCTGCACGGTCAGTCTTCTGACTGGAAATCATATTTGTTTACCTTTTCTTTCCACCTAGCAGCTGGTCACTAACAAGAGACAAAAGTAGAACAAGATGAAGAAATCAGTGCACACTTTCAAGTTATATTTTTCTTATGACTTAACCAAGTCAGTCATTGCCCAAAGAGAATAGCTGGTGAAAGCAAATCTTCAGCCACTAACTCTATTATACAAAGTTAAATATAATTTTAATGTATTCATCGTATGGGATTCTTTAATGGGTTATTCTGTGAAAATGAAGATATTAGCAATTATCGTTTCTATATTTGATAAATTAAATTTGTTCTGGAAATTTGTCTGAGTTGATAATGCCCTGAGAACAAACACCACCCCACTATGGATTTGCTTCCCCTCCTCCTCCCCAGCTCCCTGCCAAGGGAACATTTCAATGTTACCTGCTAAAAGAAATATGAAAGATTCTGTACTTGCAGTAGTGGTTTGCAGAAGCCTCCCCCTTTAAATGCTAAGTGTAACTGAAAAACTTGGCTCTAAAATGTCATCATAAAGATAATTTATTCTTTGAGATTTTATCAAACACTTAAAAAAACCACCCAGGGTCACTTGTAGCTGTACTTCAATTCACCTACTTTGTATGCATTTCTTTGGTCTTCTACCTGCCTGTCTTCACTGACAACTTACAGAAATCTGGGAGCCTGAATCTCAACCGGTCGTTTCTCCCTTGAATATAGACACCTGAAGTGATTTTTAGGTCTCATGTAAAAAGGTACATGTGTGTCTGTGTGACCCTTGCTCCTTTTAAAAATCTGCAGATATTGCTGGGAATTTGAATGACTGACCAACAACAGCATCAAAATTCATAGTGGTGCTGTAATGACTACTCATACTAGATAATGTGTTAGTATTATAGACAGCAAGGTAAAATTTCTAATAAAGATCCAAAATCATGTTAGAAAATAAATTAGGTACTTTATTATTTTTTTTAAAGTCAAACAGAAATCATCTGGCAATTTGAATATAAATAATAATTTCAACTGATCTATTAGCAGAATTAGTAAACCAGTTTCAGTCCATATCAAGATATAATATTGCTCACTGTTTAAAAGTATATGTGATATACTTTTAAACAGTGAGCAATATTATATCATCATATACTTTTAAACAGTGAGCAATATTATATCTTGATATCATAATATACTTTTAATTTTAAACTCTCTTTCATAAGTCAGAAGAAAATGATAGTCACCTCTGCCATGAAACTAGCACTATTGTACTGAGTTTGTGTGGCAAGCTTTTGGTAGTGGCCGGCGGGGGGGGAAGTTAAAGGGGTGACTTCTGTGAGAAGATGTCAGAAGCTTCCCCTGTGTCCAGTGAAGCCAATGCCAGCTGGCTCCAAGACCTGCTGTTGACCAACACCAAGTTCATCAGCAACAGTGGTAATGCCTCTGTGAGAATATAGTTAAGAGAAAAACTGCTCCACAACAGCAGCCAGAGGAGAGGAGTGAGAATATATGAGAGAATCAACTCTGCAGACACCAAGGTCAATGAAGAAGGAGGAGGAGGTGCTCCAGACACCAGAGCAAAGATTCCTCTGCAGCTTGTGGTGAAGACCATGATGAGACAGGTTGTCCTCCTGCAGCCCGTGGAGGACCCCATGCCAGAGCAGGTGAATGCCTGAAGGCGGCTGTAACCCTGTGGGATACCCGCACTGGAACAGGCTTCTGGCAGGACCTGTTGAGAGAGGAGCCCACACTGGAGCAGGTTTACTGGCAGGACTTGTGACCCCATGGGGGGCTCACGCTGGAGCTCTCTGCTCTTGGAGGACTGCACCCTGTAGAAAGGACCTGTAGAAAGGACCCTTGCTGGACCATTTCATGAAGACCTGCTGCTCATGGGAAGGACCCATGTTGGAGAAGTTTGTGGAGGACTGTCTCCCATGGGAGGGACCCCATGCTGGAGCAGAGAAAGAGTGTGAGGAAGAAGAGGCAAAGGCAATGTGTGGTGAACTGACCACAACGCCCATTCCCTGTGACCTTGTGCTGCTTTGGGGGAGGAGTTAGAGAAAATCACGTGTGAAGTTGAGCTGGGGAAGAAGGGAAGGGTGGGGAGAAGGTGATTTAAGATTTGAGTTTTATTTCTCATTACCCTACACTGACTTCTCACTGCCAGTAAATGAAATTAATTTCCCCAAGTCAAGTCCATTTTAGCTGTGATGGTAACTGGTCAGTGATCTTTCCCTGTCCTTATCTTGACTCACAAGACCTTCGTTATAGTCTCTTTCCCCCGTCCAGCTGAGGAGAGGGAGTGATAGAGAGGCTTGGTGGGCACCTGGTATCCAGCCAGGGGCAACTCACCACACCCATGAAAACAATTTTTAAGTGCCAAATAGTTTAACTTCTGTATTTTAATAGCTTTCTCTGCAGTTTAAAGTAGCATTTCCTGAAATACTGCTGGAAGATACAATAGATATTTCACTGTTTGTTTTATTTTTTTAAGATCCTGTGAAATTTGATGAGCAAATCCTGTATGATAAACTGATAAAGCTTCTAGATGAAGAAAACAAGATGCTGGACTTGGAAGGTAAATAACAAAATTATTTGCATAAAGAAAAATAAAACTCTTTGGAGTCTGGATGTGGGGAGGAGAGTGGGTAATCCATCCCCTTGAACTCAGAAACAAAAGGGACATTGGCTTTAATGAGAACCTCTAAGATCTTTTTCCCCAAATGTTTTTGTTTTGAGTCATGTTTATGTGGTTTTAAGTGTAACTTAAGTGGCGTGCTTTCTCTAGGCTGCTTCATTGCATGTTGAATTCCACCCATAGGAAAGAAGACTGGAAATGTCATTGCCTATACGCTCAAAGCTAAAAATCTAAATCCTTATTTAAGCTCATAGATGGGTGGGCCAATTGTCAGATCCACTGGTCACATCAGACAGTGTTTGAGGTTATCTATGTAAGGATTTACGCAAGCAGGGAGATAAGAAAATGATTTCTGTGCCCTTTTAAAAATACCAAATTGACGTTCCATCTACAGCAAAACAACAAAGTGCAGAAGAGATCTCTTTGCATCAGGCCAACAGCCTTTGGCTTCACTTATTTTTACACTTATTATTTAACACCCACTTGATTGATGAGACTGTTACCACCACAGCCTCTACACAAGGTGTATGTCTGCTGCTGTCCTCTGGTTCATCCTAGCAGAAATGACATATGAACAAGCTCCAGCTTAGGGCTGCCCTCATGTTTTGGGGTGTCTCACTCACCTCCCCTTTCTTTTCAGCCAAGGTCTTCTGTGCAAAAGTATTTTCTATTCTTTGTATCTGTATGAGATTTCCTGTTCTATTTCAATTATACACAGGACACCTACTCTGTCAGAAAGACAGAGCAGGCAGTTGCCTACAGCACTGGAGCTCCAGGAGCTGCAACATGTTTTATGACTATTTAGTTTGCGAACAACTTTGTTCTAGAAGAGGCAAACATTTGCTAGAAGAGGCTGCTGAGGTTGCTCACTGATTCAATTCCAGGGCAAGCAAATGCATTACATGTGTGTCTTGCGCTCCAGGAGCATGTCAGAGCCTCCTGTGTAGGCATGAAGGCAGCAAGTGGCAGAGACACCACAGCCCAGCCTGCTCTGTCTTGTGTCTTGAACAGTGCTTCTGTGCTTTTATTTCTTAAAAGTGACATAATGGGTTTCAGAGCTAGTCCTGTGGGTGAATGTTGTGCCTTGCCCTAGCTGAATATTTTATTTCTCTTGGCTTGGGTGAACCTCAGCAAGGTTTTCCTGAGGAAGCAAGGCTTGTGCAGTCTCCGCCTCTGTGTGCTTATCAGGCTGTATTTGTTTCTGCCTTTCTGTGTATCTCCCTCCCAGTTTTTGAACCTGTTGTTCATGTCCAAACCCTTTTTTTTTTTTTTTTTTTTTTTTTTTGAGAGCGAGCAAGTCTCACAGCTCTGACTTCCCCACCAGTTTTATGGAAGTGGGCAGCTGAGCAGAGCAGACAAGCATTATTAATGTCTCTACTGAGGGAAAAGCTAATACGGGAGTTTGACCCTTATTAGACTTCAGAAAATCCATAGAAAACTAGGATTCATTTGGTTCCACTCTTACAGAACTGCTTCTTTTCTTCATTTGACCACTGAGCTGAAAAATCACGTAGTCATACAGTCCTAATTAATAGATGATCCCCAAAGGAAAGGAAAGAACATGGCTCAGAGTTTATATAATTGCATATTTAAAGCATTTTGTCGCTGGGTAACCTGTTGGTCACTCTTGCGGTACATGTTAGTTTGTATTATAAAGCAGCTTAAAAGGCAACATTAGTAGTTTGTTTTTTAGAGAAAGATGTAGACTATATTTTTTACATAGGGACAGAATCTCTCAAACGATGCAAGATTGTGTTCCATGCACATCTAAAATGGTGCTAGGTGAATACCATAAAAAAATTATTTTCTGTTATATTATTCTTTGGCAGCAACTGAAAAATTGAGTTGCAGTGTTTTGCAGCATTTTTGTTTGATGCATGAGCCTTTGGTGATGTACTGTTTTAGCTACAATTTATACACAGAGTCTTCTAGAACCAGGCAGCCAAAATGCCTTTACCATGTGGAGTCTATAGCTGCTTTATACATTCAAACCCATGCCAAAGTGTAGTCTGCTGATGAACCTACCCTTTACATTCTCATCTCAGTATATAAACCACTGCTATCTGATGGACAAATGCAGGAGCAAATGAAGTTACAAACAGCCAACCTAGCACTGGAGAGATTGCTTTAATTACACCACAGCAACTGCAAATGCAGCCTGTGCTAAGGAGAAGAACTGATTTAAACAATGTGGAAACTGTGACTTAGAGTATTAAATATAGCCAAGACAATGAAAAGTTTGACACAGATGCTAACAACTTGGAGTTGCCAGTTTTTAATTAGTTTATCAATAAATTTCCTCGCAAGTTTTCAGCCATTTGGTCCCCTGTGTGCAAAGTAGTAACATTTTTAACACAGTGGCTACTTGTGTAGGGCAAGGAGGTGGAGGCTGTGTTTTGGTCAAGCATTGCTCCAAGGCAGCAGCTCAAGCCTCTAACCTGTGGGTCAGTTCAGACAAGGAGCAACCTGATGATGACCGAGTTTCAGAGGTCTCTCCAAAGCCAGCGTGGAAGGAGCAAACCAGACCATGAACAGCCCTGTTCTCTCCCTGTCTCCAGCTCAGGCAAACAAACAGTTTTTCCAAGCGTGTTTAAATGACCATGTGTATCTTTTCATAAAATATTTTTCAAATGTGAGTTGAAATTTATCTCTGTATTTTTTAGCAGTTATTTCCTTTAAAAAGGCTTTTGAAAATGTTCTCTCTCTTCTTTCACTCTTTTCACACAAAGCATATGTTAATGAGTCCAGTTTCTTCCACCAAAACTGAGTTCATTTGATGCGATTCCTCACAAAAATAATAAACACAAGAGAAAAAGGTTATTTTGGTGAATGACTTCATGGTAGTCTTTGTGAATGGAATCTTGTTATTCCTTTTTTTGATGTATAAGGACTATCTTTCTACACCCAGAGGATCCTGAGATAGCAATGTACAGTCTTCCTAGGATGTAAACTTGCTCTGCTCGTGTGAAAGCAGTAAAGCAGTTGATTTATACCAGCTGAGCATATGGCCTGTTGTGTACAACACAGCATCAAGGGGAACAAGTGATGCTGCATCTTCTGCTGTTGGCAATGTTTCCTTTTCCAGTGCTTCCTGGATTTTCTCTCTCCTAGCCAAACCCTTAATGTTACAATAAATTTAAATGTAAATATTGTTTTGTTTTTGCAGTTAATAGTTGTAGGTCAAATCACTTTTCATTAGGCTTGTAAGATGCTACGTGAAGAGATTGTGTACCCTAAGGTAATGGTTTGGGTTGTTTATATCTACTGTACACTTCCCCAACATGATTTTGAATTATATCCTGTTGTAATTAAAGAAAAAAAACCCTGCTTCCTGTGTGTTGGTGGCACCGAGGTGATTTAAGTACTCAGGAGGCTCAACAATTAAAGTCATTAAACAATGAGTAGTGAGCAAAACTGAAAATTTTAATAGCCTTAGTTTTATCTTTCCTTTCCTGGTCTTCATTAGAGAATGAGAGACTTCAAAGGGGAGTGAGGAAAAAAAATATCTTTTAGCTGCTTTCATGTCTTAGGGTGGACAAAGAGAAAAACAAATAACTAGATATGTCAGTTTCTTGCAGAGAAAGGCACAGGGAACTATAAAAACATGCACTTACACACAAAGATATGAGGCAAGAAAGACAAAGTCAGATGTGGACAACCTGATATCTGTCATTTCTTACTGACCCTAATGTGGAGAAATGAGCAAAAATAGTAATCTTTATTATTTGTGACCTAAACTAGTATTAGTACTGTAGCAGATACCAATGAAAAGACTTTTTTTACATAGCGTGATGAATTAAACTGAAAAATGGACACAGCTTCTCTTTAAGTTTGGCTTTATGAATGGGATTTATTTTTATTTGTATGCAGCATGTGCCCTTTGTTTCTACATATGTCACTGCAGTGAAATGAGGGGAATGATGTGGGTGAGAGCAGAACTGGACCTGATTAATTAGGCAGGAGCTGTGCACACACACCTGGGGGAGGAATGTGATCCTGTGGGGTGAGTGGGAGGATGAAATGCTCTCTGTGGCTCTGCCTAAAACTCCCTTTGAATTGCAGTTATTCCTCCTCTTCCTCAGGAGTGAAAGCCAAAGTCATTCCAAATCCCAATTCCTTTAAGATTTACAGGGGAGCAAAGTGCCCATGGAAATGCAGAGCACGCCTTTTAAAAATTATTTAAGGAACAAGCCATACCTGCTAAATTTGTCCCTGTATGCAGATGTTGCTCTTAAAGAGAATTTTCCTGGTAATGGCACTTGGAACCTGCCAATTGTTCTACTGCTGTTATTCATTACTGTTCATTTTATGGCATGAATTTGTTGTCTTAAAATGTTGGTGGGTCAAACACATTAACTAGAGGGTACTAACCAGGGAATCAACTCCTGTTTGCTAAGAGATAATCTGCCACTTTTTTTTTTCAAGCAGCTCGTGTAGCCAGTGAAGATTTTCTGGACTCCGTGATGCCTGTCAGCTCCAGTAAGGCATGTGACCTTCACAGGGAGCTTGAAGATGAAGTGATTCCTTCATATATCGAACAGTTTGAGAGAGATGTTCAGGATGACATAATTCTGCTTGGCAGCTTTTCACTGGAACAGGTCAGAGTTAAGAACTATAAGACAATTTTATCGCTTGCTTCATAACATGATGCTGGCTTGTTAACCTTGTACACCCCAATTCTATTTCACTGCCTGGCAATACATATATTGAAAGGGGAAAAGATAACCCATTTCGTTGGCTTGCTTTATGAGACTGGCACTTTGCTAAGCTAACAGCAGGACCTTTATCTTTGTCTCCATTTCAATGTGAATAAAAATAGATTGCCTTTCTTGCTTCTTTCCTAAGTAGTGGAGTATCTCTGACTGCTCTGTAGTAAGTATTGCAATTGAGTTTCAATCAAGAGCCTAAGCTTAGGATATCTCTCTCTGCCAAATTTAACAGAGGGTTATTCATCTATCAACAAGGAAGTTCAGATTTGAGCTCAGGAAGGATTTATGTAGCAATATTCATTGTACAGGGGATAGATTATTCCCAAATTAAAAATCTGTTGTGTTTTTCAGGGTGGCAAACCCACCTACGGTTTTCTTTTTGTCATTTAGTAGTGTAAAGAGACAAAGTCGGGTTCGTGTTGACAAAGGCATGAGTTTTCAGGGCTGAAATGATATTTGTGGGCACCTAACTACCATTTGTCCCTCTGAAAAATCTCATACCAAGTCTAGGGGACAGGAAGAGAGATTAATTGATGAATCTATCATTTTTAATTAGCAACATGAGAACAGCGCACTGGCTCTGATGGGCTTAAAATAGGTTAGCTAGTGACTGATAATGATCTAAAATTTCTTTTATTTTCAGAGGAAGTTTTTAGAATTTTTTCACTGCAGGACTAAACCTCATTATTGCCTTCTGCATGTTGGCGAGGGGCAAAATACCCTTCTTTGCTGCTTTCCTCTAAATCCTTGTTTAGCTGTATTTCACTTCTGGCTTTTTTTGTAGCTGTATTCATCACGTATAGAAGGTAGTTGCGGGAATATTGTTCAAAGAACAAGAAATGGGAGGGAAACCTGAGAGAAACACGAGGGAAAAGGACTCAAATGGTACTAGGAGCATCACTTGCCTCATGGGACTGATGTAGTAGGAGGCTGGGAACAGATGAGTGCTGCACCTTTTCAGAAGACTTTGTGTTGAGAGTTCACATTTTAACTAAGTTTGGGCTATTCGGATGCCTCCAAATTTCTTGAGGATCTGTGACACCTGAAGGGAACACAATAGATTTGTCAATACTTTATTTACCCTCTGTCTAAACATGGTGACTGGGAGGCTGATCATCTTACTTGGACTGTTTTTGGAGGTATTCAGCAAAGTTTGTGTCCTAGACAGAAGCGAGGTATTTGGTATTCCCAAAACAATATTCTGCTTTTTAAGTGACAGCTGTGAATGTGAATCCACATGTAATACAATATAATATGCATTTCTTCCTTTTTTTCTTCCAAAAGAAAGAAAATACTCATTTAGCAGGATTGATTGAGCTGATCTAACATGAGTTTATAGATAGGGACTCAATACTTTATATTGCACAGAAGAGGACTTGAATGCCTGTGTTTTCTGCCCATTCCTCCCACATCTCTAATTTCAGTTGTCCGTGCCCTGTTTAGGAATTCAGTCATACTGGTATCAGTTTTCATGGAATCATAGAATGTTTTGGGTTGGAAGGTACCTTACAGATCACTGTGTTCCAAGCCCTCTGCCATGGGCAGGGACACCTTGCACTAGACCAGGTTGCTCAAAGCCCCATCCAGCCTGGTCTTGAACACTTCCAGGGAAGGGTTATCCATAGCTTCCCTGTACAGCCTATTCCAGTGTCTCACCACCCTCACACTGACGAATTTCTTCCTAATACCTAATCTAAATTTCCCCTCTTTCAATTTAAAACCGTTACCCCTCCTCCTATCACTAAACTCCCTCATAAAGAGTCCCTCCCCATCTGTCCTATAGGCCCCACTTTTTGTATTGGAAAGCTGCTCTAAGGTCTCCCTGAAGCCTTCTCTTCTCCAGGCTGAACAACCCCAAGTCTCTCACTCCATCTTCGTAGGAGAGGTGCTTCAGCCCTCTGATCATCTTTGTGGCCCTCCTCTGGACTTGTTCCAACAGGTCATGTCTTTTCTGTGCTGGGGACTCCAAAGCTGGACACAGTACTCCAGGTGGGGTCTCACAAGAGCAGAGTAGAGGGGCAGAATCATCTCCCTGAACCTGCTGGCCACACTTCTTTTGAGGCAGTCCAGGATGTGGTTGTCTTTGTGGGCTGCCAGGTCATGTTGAGCTTCTCATCAACCAACACCCCCAAGTCCTCCTCAGGACTGCTCTCAATCCATTCTCTGCCCAGCTTGTATTTCGCACATGTGCATCCTGCAATGCAGAGGGTAACAATATGCTCACTGTAAAATCTATATTGTCTTCTGGATCAATGTTGTATACATGCATCTTTTCCTTGGAACCAGAGAGAAATGGTGTATTCAGCCCTTTGAACAGAAAATGGAAAGTGACGTTGGAAGCAGAGGCTGCAAACATGATTTTTTTTTATGGTGTGTAGGTATTCAAAGACATCTAATAATAATGTGAGAATGCTTATTCTTCTTTAATTGACCTTATTCTTGAAGTATTTACTCTTTGATCTGTAGATATACCCCTGCAGCATTGCAGTGTTGATGCCTTTCCACAGCAGCTACAGGTTCGGTGTTAGACTGCTGTCATGGTCTTCAGAATCTGTTGCTGCCGTCTTTGGGATGCTTCCAGCTTTTGTTGCTTGAATGTGTGTTTATTGGTTTGAAAAAGTCTTTAATTCACCAAGTGGCTTTTACTTCTTACTCAGAAAAAAACCCCTTCCCTTCCTGCTGCAGGTTTAGTGAGTAGCAAATGTACTTTAGCCAGCATAATTTATGATTAGTTAATTTAATCTGCCATAATGACATAAAGTGAGCCTGAAACAAGCTTCTATCAATTTTGCCGTTAGAGGTAACATAATATTTTCAAATGTCTACCAAACTGAGTAATTAACCCTCGGGCTGAGTGAAGGAGTCTAATAGACATCTTTCTCACATTCCTTTGCTTTGACAAAATGAAAACAAAACATGGGAGCCCAAGGGTTAAAAATAGCAAGTGAGAGTTTACAGTATGTGCGACTAGTTTTATAAGCGAGGTTCAGAACTACACTTGATTTGCTGCTGTTTCTTGTTATGCTGCCAAAAATTCTCTTCAATGAGGCATCTGATTTGCACTAGAGCTTTGCTGGCAGCATTGGCATGAAAAGGACAGCTATGTATTAACTATCTATCCCTTAGTTTATTGCTTTTCTTCTCGGCTTTGTAGTTTTATGTTAAATGGGTGGCTTTTGCTTGAACAGCAGCTCAGTGCATGAGATCACCATGGTTAAAAGTTTTTGAAAGAGCAGATGCGCTTTCCAAAATAATAATAATAAAAAAAGGTTTATGCAAGATTTTAGCTCTGGAACTTTAAGCCACATCATTACTTACTTCATGCTCTGTTTTGTTAATGTAAAAGCTGATAGTTGGGGTTGGTAAGAAAGACTTAAGGAGAGATCTGAGAGATTCTTGTAAAAAAAGTATTAAGCAGATGTCAGTGTTCTGTTAACAAACACATTAAAGAATATTAAATTTGGAAAGCAGTACTGTTTTTTGCAGCCTACCCATGTAGTCCTACAGATTTCAAAAGCCCCAATGATATTTGCTTTTAATATAGACAAACAAACTCTGTTGAAAGAAAATCATAACTTTGGGACTGTGGTGTGGTTGTAGCTGAGCAGGTACAACCAAGCCTGGGTACGCAGAATGCCACAGAAAATCATCTGTCATGAGACAACGCAGGGACATATGCTTAAGGGCAGAACTTGATCTTACAGAGCAGACAAGTATGCAAGGAAAGACCTGACGTAATGCTGGCTTAACGTGTTTGATTAAAGGCAAGATGCTCTCAAAACATAAGAGACTGTTGGGGATGAAGCAAACACTGGTGATTGGCATGAGATTGCACTTGATGGGCCTTTGGCAACGTAATCTTGCCAGTCATTAATTCAAATGCTATGGAAAAGTACCAGCTCTAAGATTTTCAGCTGTTTCTGAACCGAGACAATAGAAATGACTACTCAGTTTTATGTGGGTTCTCTCAGAAGAAATGAATAGTGAGGTAACTGGAAGCATTGGTACTGGCCCAGAAGTCAACAAATCTCTCCTGCTTGGCCACCCTCTTTTTGCAACTTGGTTGGTATTCTTAACTAAATGCAAATTGTTCACAACCTCCGTCTATCTCTATAGGATTCAGCCACTACATTTAGCCCTCCGTGGTAAGCATAACACCTTGGTCAGCACTTGGTCATTACAACTATAATAATCAGTTTTGACCCCTGACCTTACTGTGAATAATTAAGAGCCTCAGAAAGTAAAGTGCAAGTTTTGCTCTTCAGTACCAGCATTTGAGTTATAGTACTAAGAAAGGAGCTATTTGTTGTAGGTGGATAGTAATAAAATGTTGCCTTTCATCAACAGATTTACCTTTTGGTTAAACAAAGGTTAATCCTTCTTGGCGTTAGACCTAATATTCTTACAGGGTCAATATCATCACTGCTCCAACTTCTTGCCAAGTCACAGAGAGATCAATTTATATGATGATGGATTGATCAGTTTTTCTTTGGTTAATGGTGGATAACATGTGAGTAAAATTTGGTATTATGTAAGATGATGACAAATCTACTCTCCAACCAGGAATTTAATCAGGGGGATCAGGCCTCAGTCATATAAAATACCAATGCACGTTTGCTTGCATGTTCTACCTCATTGGATAATATTGTCATTTATATCCTGATGATATCTACAGAGCTCCCCTTATCAAAATCATAGCCTACTAAGCATTGTACAATCTCGTATGATCGTTCTTAATGAATATGATACTTGTGTGAATATTTCACCTAAGAGCAATGCAGAATCGAAGGTGACTTTTCCTCACCTAAAACCTGGCTACTCCTTTTTGACATTTGCCAACATTTTAAATGACTGTGATGTTCAAATGAGTAATTTTTTTTTGTTTTACT